TTGCGCGAACCAGCTGATGAGAAAGAAAAAAAATGTTTTCAACGGTTTTAGTCTCATACTACAAAATCAACAGTCTTGTGGCACCTTAAAAAAAATAACACTTATGTTTTAAGTTTTGTGGGTTACAGATGCTGGACTATACTCCTGAGAAAATATGATCTGTATACACAGCTGGTGGGCAAGCAGAGGGGAGGGAGAGAAAAGATGGTAAATGGAAAGACAAGGAACATTAAGTATAAATAGCGACTTTTAACAAAATAGTATTTAGCTGTGACACAGTCTTGTATGAATCAGCTGTGTACCATACATCAACCGCATGTGCGCTCTAAGCCATAGCTTGCTTAGCCACCATTGCTTAAACGAGAGGTCAGCAACTTTTGATGGCCAGAGGCTTCCCTTAAAAGTTGTTGGATGGCTCAGGGAGCCATCACAGGCACTTCTGACAAGCCCCAGTGATGTCACGCATATCATGACATCAACATGTACGGCATGTGAATTCATGCCATTTTCATTGTGATGCTTGTCTCCTTGGGAAAGCCCATGGAGGCTACTTTTCACCTGTGAGTGGCGTTGCTTGGTGGTCCTGGGGGAGGGGCATCATGTTTTAAGTATGATTGTGCCTATTTTAGGGTTCATATTATAATGTTCATAAGTTTCCCACTTCAAAAATGGCAGAAAACTGTGCTGTCATTGTTCATCACAGTCAGATGGTGTTCGGTGAACTATGAGAAGCATTCATCATTAAGCAACCAATGATTGTACATAAACCACAAGTGATGTTTCCCACAATACACTAAGGCAAGATCACACAGATCAAATGATAGTTAATGTGATGTGTGAAATCATTTGCTGTGGGATAAGAAGCCATGGTCTCTTTAATCCATGAGAAATGGTATTACATCTATTAAATGTGTAACTCGACTGTTTTCCCATGAACTTGGCTTCTCTAATTTCTTTTCACAAGATCAGTGATGACAAGGAGTTTAGACATTGTGCTAAACCATGGTTTCTTTAAGGCCACAATTTCTTGAATAAGTCATAACAATTGAACTCATGTATAACAAAGGTCCTAAATTTTGTACTGTAGGACTGTGAATTTGAATTTGAAACTAGAGATTCAATTCGAAGGCAGTTCAAAAAAGTCACCAGATCAAACCAACTTTCCAAATTGAATGAAAAAGTCCAGCTGAATCTTTGTCTGCTTCTGAATCCATTCAACAATTTGGAAGCTAAACCTCTTTCTTCCCAAATCAGTTCTGACCATTGAACAGATCTGATTTTCCAAACCAATTGAAAGAGTTGAATCAGAACAGTCCAACAGTCCAAATTAAATCCATAACTTGATTCAGACAATCTCTACCCACAACAGCCTGAGCCCCCTTATGGTTTCACAAAGTACAAAGCCCAGATTTACATAACCTGTTAAGCCAAAATGGAGCAAACCATGGCTTAGCACAATAAATGAAATGAGCCAAGTGATCTGCAGAGTTTAAATATGCTCCCATTCTTATTCTTTGGGGGATATTTCTGATGTCAGTTCTATCTATCTATCTATCTATCTATCTATCTATCTATCTATCTATCTATCTATCTACACATACATACATACACACACACATACACACAGACATCTCAAAAGCTCAATCAGTTTGATGTGAGTCAGACACTAGATTGGGAAAAACTGCCTTAAAACAAATTATTGAAAGTCAGAGCTGGTATCTTGAATAGAAGTAATCTATCTTATTTTTTATTATTATTTATTTTATAGGCTCTATCACACTCACATTTCTAGGCAGCTTAGAAAATGTGAATACTGTAATTAAGATTCAAACAACAAAAAAGGAGCACATGATAACATTTTAGTGGAGTAATAAGCTCATTGGAGTCAGTTTGGCGTAGTGGTGAAGGCACCAGGCTACAAACTGGGAGACCGTGAGTTCTAGTCCTGCCTTAGGCTCAAAGCCAGTCCCTCTCTCTCAACACTAGGAAGGAGGCAATGGCAAACCACTTCTGAAATCTTGCCAAGAAAATTGCAGGGACTTGTCCAGGCAGTCACCAGAAGTCAACACTGACTCAAAGGCACAACATACATACATACATACATACATTTTTTAAAGCTCATTGGAAAGCTTGCTACATCTTTAAACTGTTATCCAACACTTTTTCCTAAACTAGCAGAAGTGTAGCCAAAGGTTTGTTAATAGTCATATAACTTGCTTTACAATTTTATAGATATTAACCATATTTATGACTCCAATGCATTGTAATGCTTAAGGTGACTGATGCTTAGGACCTCCAGCTAAAATCAGACTGTAATTGGTAATTCCAATATACAACTGTCACCATGGTATTCAAAGAATTTGTTTTCTTATTTATAGATTTCTCTTTTTATGTATCAATTTTACACCATGTAGGGATTTTTGTAAAACAGACATTTGAAGTCTTTGAAATGAGTTTGGGAAAGGATCCTTGCAGCGCGCTGAACTTTGTCTCCAAATGATCACTCTCAAATTTCTTTTAAATGCCAAATATTTACGGAATATAAAATTATCTAGTTTTG